TATGTACCCACCTTATAGTAGCCCCATCTAAGTTGTAGTTCCCTTGTTTATTGATAAAAAGGTTATGAGACACCGTATCAAATGCCTTACTAAAGTCTATGTATATCACGTCCACTGCTTCCCCCTTGTCCACAAGGCTTGATATCCTATTAAAGAAAGCTATCAGATTGGTTTGACATGATTTGTTCTTTACAAATCCATGCCGGCTGTTACCTGTCACCTTATTATCTTCCAGATGTTTGCAGATGAATTCCTTAATTACTTGCTCCATTATCTTCCCTGGGACAGAAGTTATCCCAGGAGGCATACCTGGTGTGACGTAGTGGGGGTAATTGCTGGGCTGTGGTGACCCCTGCTGTCTGGAGCAAGACCCAGCAGGGAAAACCTGGCTAGGCAGAGATAAGGCCAAACTGGTTGAACCAGTGGCCAGACACCCCCCATGGAGAGGAACAAAGGAAGGTGGAATGCTGCCCTGACTGCGGGGGCAGGGCTGGAGGGGAATTTAGTTAGACTGTGGAAGAGCATGGAGGAGAGCCTAGGGGAAGGGGCTGGAGTTTAGGGGCCCAGTCTCCCCCATCTCAAGGGGGCCTGAGGCATCCTAGCCCAGTTCCTGTAACCAGATTACATCTGTGCTGCGCTGTGCTGGAGGAGCAATAAACCACCCTCAATTCCACTGGCTGGTGCAGTCTGTTTGTGCCATTTCGGGGTGCAGGAGACGGGGAACCCCCAACGCGCCGTCACAGCAGGTTTCAGGGCCGGTCCGCGTGCCGAGGGGAACAGGGCGGGTGTCAGGGCCGGTCCGCGTGCCGAGGGGAACAGGGCGGGTGTCAGGGCCGGGTCCCGAGAGCTGTTTACTTTAGACCATTTTTTAATAGATTTATTTTAAGAACATAAGAGTGGCTGTACTGGGTCAGACCAAAGGTCCATCCAGCCCAGTGTCCTGTCTGCCGACAGGGGCCAATGCCAGATGTCCCAGAGGGAGTGAACTGAACAGGTAATGATCAAGTGATCTCTCTCCTGCCATCCATCTCCACCCTCTGACAAACAGAGGCTGGGGACACCATTCCTCACCCATCCTGGCTAATAGACATTAATGGACTTAACCTCCATGAATTTATCTAGCTCTTTTTTAAACCCTGTTACAGTCCTAGCCTTCACAACCTCCTCAGGCAAGGAGTTCCACAGGTTGACTGTGTGCCGTGTGAAGAAACATTTTGTCCCTCTGGTGCATCCCCATCTGTGCCCGGGTGTGACAAGTTCTAAGGTGATTCTGTAAAGTTTCACTAAGGATTAGTCATTAGAATCCAACTGTTTCCCCCTGTGCAGCCCCGAACGCGTAGAAAACTTGACTCCTCATCTCTGCTTCTAGCTAGTCTGGGCAGAGCTTAGAACTTAAACAAACCCTTTGCTCTGAAATCAAGAGTATTTTTTGTAAGGGGGAGACCCTGATAGTTTTCACATCACAGTAACATTTGTTTTATTCATTCTGGAGCCCTCGTGCTACACGTGGGTTGCTGGGCTACTGAAATTTACCTGCGATTCCTCACTGAGTCCTCATTCTGGGAATGAGCGAGAGCTTCAGGCGTCGTTGCTATTCTCATTTGTGGCCCAGGAGAGAGTTGACTCGAGTGCACGATCAAAGCTCTAATTACCCAGAAAGCCAATAGCACTCCCTCCTTTTGTGTTCCCTGGCAGCCTGCTGAGAACTGCCTACATGGAGCCCCTCAATTAGGAGCCGTGGGAAATGGGAGCTGATAGAAGGGAAAACAGCCATTTTCCAACTGCTTGAATTTGAATGCAAATAGTTTTCGGAGACGCCTGTTTGCTGCCGGGGCTAGAACAATGGTGGGAGGCCTCAGAAGGGAGAAATGTTTCTCTGCCGCTCCCCTCGCCCCTTATTTATGTTTTATAACAGTTCTGCTTTGGGACATCGAAGGGGCTTGCTTCTCATTTACACCAAGCCTGCTCCACCCCTCACACTTGTGCGGTGTGACGGGTGGACTAGGCCCGTCGCCCCCTGCTGGAGGCCATGCCACACCCCGCCCCAGGGAGAAGAGCAGAAAAGAGGTCCTCCAGGCAGACTAGAGTGGCTGGGTCGCTCG